CCTCCTCCCCTTCTCTGCCTCCACCCCCTCCTCCGTCTCCACCTCCACCACCTCCACCTCCACCTCCTCCACCTCTCCTCTTCCCCCCCCCTCCCTCTCCTCTCTCTCACCTGCGTCGTCTGCTGCGCGGTGGCGCCCCCTGCCACCCGCGGCTCCCGCCGCACCCGTCGCGGCGAGTCCGCTCAGGTTTAGCGGCTGCTTGACGTGGGCGAGGGCGCAGACCGTCGCCGGGTGCGGGTAGGGCGGGAGCCGCGGGTTGTTCATCGAGTTGTTCAGCAGGTTCGCGTGGTGAACGTACGCCTCGTACAGGTGCCCGCCGTCGCGACCTGCAAGAGGTCAGAGGGGTCAAATGTCAGAAGTTGGGGCGTCAAAGGTCAGGGGTTGAGGGATCAAAGGTCAGAAGTTGGGGCATCAAAGGTCAGGGGTTGAGGGATCAAAGGGTTAGGGGTCAAAGGTCAGAAGTTGGAGTAGTCAAAGGTCAGGGGTTGAGGGGTCAAGGGTCAGAGGTCGGCGATGCCAGAGCTGGTGATATTTTTGTGTGATTATTGGCAATTGGGAAACAGTTAATTGTCAAAAAAATATCTGTAATTGCCAACTGATTCAACTTCGACTGTAACCCTAAACCTTTCTCTTAACCACTAAATCAACTTGCGCCTACGACTCCCCGCGCTTCGTGCTCACCTGAGGGAGTGCTGGCGCCCCCTGGCCCCGGGCTGCTGCTGCGGGCAGCTGCGGCGGCGGCGGCTGCTGGCTGTGACATCTCGTCGAGTCCGGCGCTCTTCTGATAGCGGCTCGCGCGATTGACGACACGTGGCGACGTGTGCGTGCGCAGGTTCACCGCTCCTGCAACGACGAGTAGGACGAAGCGGTGACGCCGGCGCCACCTAGCGGCACGGTGACGCCGGCGCCACCTAGCGGCACGGTGACGACGGCGCCACCTAGCGGCACGGTGACGCTGGCGCCACCTAGCGGCACGGTGACGCCGGCGCCACCTAGCGGCACGGTGACGCCGGCGCCACCTACCAGCACAGTGATGCCATCTAATAGTGCAGAGATGCAACACGATACAGGAGCGAGCGGTTATGCCGACGCTACTAATGACACGGAGACACAACAACAATCTCCATACACGTGCGTGGTTGCGTACAGCATGCTAACGGCCACCCAGGGGGCGCCACCTCACAGCTTACCTCCGTACAGCATTCTAACGGCCACCCAGGGGGCGCCACCTCACAGCTTACCTCCGTACAGCATGCTAACGGCCACCCTAGAGTCCCTATATACAGAGAGTTGCGCCATGACGAGTCGGAAAAACAAATGACTTGGTCCACGTTCTTTTGTCGTCACACATGTTCTCTGTCATCACAACACTTCTCTTGTCTTGTCCGGCAGACGATAACTAAAGCTTGACCATCTTCGGGAGACTGTGGAAGGCAGTCTGAGGGAGCGAAGTCGGGGCCGGCGCGCCAATGAGAAGTCGTCGCGAAACAGACCTGATGCCGGGAGTGGGACGATAGTGGACATCCAGACCGCACGGAGAGGTTGAGGCGAGGGAGGGGAAGGGGAGGGACGGGCAGGGAAGAGGTGACGCGAGCGCAAAGGAAGGGAGAGAGAGCGAGAGGAGAGGAGGGGCAGAGAGTGGTGACGATAGTGACATCAGACCGCAACGGAAAGTTTGTCACGAGGGGGGGGGGAAGCGAGAGAGGAGCGGAGATGAGGGAGAGACGAGAGAGAGGAGGAGAGAGTGGTGACGATAATGTGGACATCCAAACCGCACAGGAGAGAGGTGGCGAGGGGAGGGAAAGGAGAGAGGAAGAGAGAGAGACAAGAGAGAAGACGAGAGAGAGGGGGAGGGAGAGAGAGAGGAGAGAGAGAGAGAGAGCAGACGAGAGAGAGAGAGAGAGAGGAGCGAGAGAGAGAGAGAGAGAGAGAGAGAGAGAGAGAGAGAGAGAGCAGGAGAGAGAGAGAGAAGAGAGAGGGAGAGGGGAGAGGAGAGAGAGAGAGAAGAGAGAGAGAGGAGAGACGAGAGAGAGAGCGGACGCGCGAGTAGAGAGAGAGAGAGAGACGAAGTGGTGGTGATGATAGTAGGCAGGTGGGTGCGTGCGTGCGTGTGCCATCCAATAATTAATTACCAATATAACACACCCACCTTCCTGCTTAAATTACGTTGTTCGTTTTTATCATCGAACTTCACGATCTTTTATTTCCAATTAAATTCTTCACATAAACTCTTCACTATCTCTCACATAATACCAAAAACTTCAATTAAAACTGTAATAATAATAAATTACTAAAACGACTAAAAAATGTGACGCAATCGATGCTAACTACATCCGTCACGTTAATTCCCCGACCTGCCAACGGCGCAGGTGGCGGTGGACGAGGACAGCGACGGCGAGGGGCTCGTCGCGCACTTTCCCGCGCACGCGAGCGAGCCCGTCGCTGCCATGACCTTTGACCCGTCGGGAACGCTCCTGCTGACCGCCTGCCGCCTCGGACACAACTTCCACGTGTTCCGCGTGATGGCGCATCCTGTCTGCAGCTCCCAGGGGGCGCTGCACCACCTCTACACGCTGCACAGGGGCGACACGACGGCTACGGTGAGTGGAGGGGAGGGGTGGAGGAGGGGAGGGGAGGAGGGGAGCGGAGGAGGAGAGAGGGGGGGTGAGAGCATGGGGAGGATGAGGGGAAGGGAAGGAAGAAACGGGGGACGAGAGGGGAGCGAATAGACAAGGGGGAGAGGGGGAGAAAGAATGAATGAGGGCAGGGGAAGATGAGGACACGGGGAAGGGACGGAAGGAATGGGGGAGGGGAGGTGGATAGCAAGAGGATAAGAGGGAAGGGAAAATGTGGAGGCAAGCCAAAGCGAAAACGGGAGAGGGGAGATATAGAAAAGGGAAGAGGAAGTGGAGTGAAGAGCAACGAAACAAAGTAGAAGGGAGACAAAAGGGGAAGAGAGAGAGAGAGAGAGGGGAGAGAGAGGAATTCGTGAGATGATCTGTGGATAGGTGCTGCCATCTGTTGGCATGTTGTTGCAGGTTCAGGACATGTGTTTCACGCAGGACAGTCGCTGGGTGGCCGTTAGCACACTGCGCGGAACAACGCATGTGTTCCCCGTCACACCGTACGGAGGTAAGCTGTGAGGTGGCGCCCCTGGGTGCGCCGTTAGAATGCTGACGGGTAGAAGCTGTGATGTGGCGCCCCTGGGTGGCGTTAGAATGCTGTAGCGGAGTAACTTGTGAGTGGCGCCCCCTGGGTGCGCCTTTAGGATGCTGTACCGGAGTAAGCTGCTAGTGGCCGCCCCTGGTGGCGTTAGCACACTGCGGATGTGTAAGCTGTAGGTGGCGCCCCTGGTGTGGCGCTTAGGACGCGTACGAGGTAAGCTGTGAGGTTACGCCCCCTGGGTGGCCGCTTAGGATGCGGTACGGAGGTAAAGCTTTGAGGTGGCACCCCCTGGGTGGCCCTAGAGTCCCTATATCACAGAAGATTGCGCCAACTCAGTGATTTGACGCATGGTTGTTCCAAATGTATCAACACCGGCTGCCGCTTAATAAGCGCTGTAATGAAATGCTGTAGCAATGGTCCGCGTAGTAATTAATTAGACTATCGTGGCTTCAATTAAACTCAAAATTACAGAGATGATAGCTACACACATGCTGTCTATGTGTGAGCTAGCATGTTAGAAATGCTAACTCAAATCTTCGCGCCATATGATAGCTTAATTGTTACACTTTCCATTACCGCCCAATTACCGTGCCGCTATATTAGCTGTGCGATACGCGCGCTTAGACACCTTGCCGTAATTAATTACAGAGCACTCGCCGCTTCAATAAACTCAAGAATCATCAGAGATCATAGGATAACACGATGTGTATCTATATGTATCTAGATTTCTAGAAAAGTAACTCAATCGTTCCGCATATGAGAGCTTAATTGTACACGTTTCTTAGGTAACAACCACAGCATGCTAGTCATGTGTTGAAGAATAATGACAACTGTAATTCACAACGATAAGTGCGTTCCATTTTGTTTCTACTCCACTCGCTCGCAGCGTGTAATATTGTTTGCGAGTTCTTATAAATCTAGCTTGACACCATAGATACATGTCTTGCTTAATCTCTGTAAAATCTTGATTTATTGAAGCACGATTAGGTCTAATTAATTACTAGTGGACCATTGTACAGCGTAATCGCATATCACGCTGTACTTAAAGCATATATTGCCATATGATTATGCGCAATGTTTGAAGAATGCCTATCCAGTAACTGCACTTGTGTAGTTAATAAGACATTAACCTATAGCAAACGCGTATTAGTTGTCCAGATATCACTGGCTGGGTTACTAAGATAATATCCAATGAAATCCGCGGTCAAATAAACCGTTTGTTGACAGTTTCACCGCTATGCCGGTCGTAAGCCGGTCGGAAACCGGCGAGGCGTGTCATTACAGATTTAAGTGCACCGACCATTTTCGCACGTATGGTCGGCCGATCTAGTGATTATCGATCTTGTCAGTTGACGTGCGCATTCCGCTACGTTATGGTTTTACTCTTGAGAGTCGGAATAAATAATATACGAGTTCTTGAGATTACAAGCAACAGTTAATATTGTTGGCAACTAGGCAACATAATAACAACTAAGCGCAAACATTTTACCGGACAGAATCAATTCGTGCTGCAACATCCTGTAGCAACAATGTGCACGGTCACCGAACGAACTCGATGTTATTTTTTGCCAATAAATTTAGCGTTGCTCGCGCAGATTACACAATTTACGGATTTCAAATAGACATCTATTAGTAATTAGGGCATGTATTGGACAAACTAATACGCGTTTGCTATATGGTAATGCTACTTATTAACTACACAAGGTGCAGTTACTGTAAGCATTCGTCAACTTTTGATAATCGGATGGTCGAATTATGCCTTTAAGCGGCAGCGGTGTTGATGCGCATTTGAAACAACAATGCGGGCGATCACGTGACGCGATT